AGCACATGGAGACATTCCATCCAATTCAACATCACTTTCTTTGTTACACACTATCGAATCGCGCGCACACACACACACACACACATATGTTGGTGTGTTTGCGTGTGTGTGTGTGTGATTAACATAAACACGTATATATATGTATGTGTACATGTGTGTAAAGACGTATATATATGTATGTGTACATGTGTGTGTGGGAGTGTGTGTGTATTATTTCGTGTGTGTTTGTTTATTTGTATTTCAAATCAATAATTTATCAATTTTCTCAATGATTATTTCAAACCACGATGTTGTATTTGCACGTGCATTAACTTTGCTACTTGCACATGTGTATATAATTGATTATAAGCTGGCATATAAACACACATACACACCACACACACATACACACACATGTACATAGAGAGAAAGAGAGAGAGTGATAAGGAGAATGAAAAATAAGAGAGTGTGCTTTTATTTCACACGTGCATGCACACCACAGCTCACACAGACAGCTGCCACAAACAACAGGCAAATAAACACACGCACACGCACACATGTATATATACAAACACACACACACACATATACAAGCATACAAACAACAAAATGCACACACACACGCACGCATATACACACACATACAAACAACAAAACGCGCGCACACACGCAAACGAATTTTCCAATCTACCTAACGCGAAACAAGCGTCTTAGCATGAGTAAGAAAGAGGATCGACAATGTATGTATGTATGTTTGTATGTTGCATATGTATAGAGTGTGTATATGGAAGTGTGTGATTGTGTGTGTGTGTGTACGTGAATAATGGTAAGTTTTCAATACAGCTGGCTCCGAGCGTTCACATGGTTATTGTGTGTGTTTGTGTGTATATGTGTGTGTGATAAATATTCTGTATGTCTGTGTGTGCGTGTTTGTACGTATACATGTGTTTAATAAATGTGTGTATTTATATTTCGTTTCGTATGTATGTAGGTAGTATATTTTTTATATGAAATTTTGAAATTTGGTTTGTGTGTGTGTTTGTGTGTGAATGTGTGTGTGTGTGTGTGCGAGAGAGAGAGAGAGAGAGATAGAAGAGAGACAGAGGAAGGGAGTGCATTCGTATTAATTGTGTCATTACTTTTCAAATTTATTTACATTTCGTTTGCACTTGAATTCGCTATTTCCATTTCATCCTAAATAAAAAATTGTTTCATATTTGTATTCTGTTAATGTTTGTTTTAGTAAGACGTACATACATACACACATACATACGTACATACATACATACATACATACATACATACATACATACATACATTATTATTACAATGTACGTGAACAGTAAGCAGAACTAAGCGCTAGCTCTGTGCCTTTGTATGTCCGTGTGTGTGAGTGAGAAAGAGAGCGAAAATTGTGTGTGTGTGTGTGTGTGTGTATGTGTGTGTGTGTGTTTGTGTGTGTGTATTTTTATGTAGCAATATCTATAAAATAGAGTATACAATACAGAAAGGGACGATGGTCCGATGCAAATTTAAAGGGAGAGAATGAAGGATTTGAATGTAAGAGAGAAAGTTTCTTTTAACATTTTTGTGTCGAAATTTACTTCGAAATTTACTTTTTTACGATCCAGTGCGTGAATTGCTGAATGAATGAATGAATGAAACAATTTATAAAGAAATGAATGAAAAAGTAAATGAATTAGTTATCATCGTGATGTAACCGATTTACATATGGTCAAATCTTGATTTTTTTTTGGTAAAACATATCTGGATTGATAAAATGAACGAACGAATGAATAGAAGTTTAATGAATAGAAAGAAGGAACGAAATGAATGAATGAACGATCAAGTTAATGAATGGGTTACTGACAAAAATCTAAAAAATTTCCAATATTGGAGAGAATAAATGAATGAATGACTGACTGAGTGAGTGGATAAACGAACTGAAAAATTTAATTAAAAAAATGTCTGATATGTGTGTGTTTGTCACAGACGGAGAATAAACGAACAAGTGAATGAACGAAAGACTGAAAGAATTCAATTGGAAGACTGAATAAATGAATGAATCAGAGAATGATTGAAACAGTATCCTGGGTTTAGATCGAATGAACGAACAAAAGAATGAATGGATGAATGGATAAAAAGTTGAACAAACGAATAGACAACAATGAATGAACGAGCAACTGAATGAACTGAAGAACGACTGAGTGAACTGAAGAACGACTGAGTGAACTGAAACGAAGGGCGATGGATGGATGGATGAAGAGTAAGGTCGTTTAGCATTCGTTCTAAAATATGTTTGGCATTGCAGTTGTTTTGCATGTTGTTGCTGTTGTAAATAAAAGGATAAATTAACGAATAAATGAATGCATGATTGAATGAATGAATTAACAAATGAATGAATGCATGAATGAATTTATCAATGAATGAACGACTTGAATGAATGAAGCTGTTTTTATTGGAATACCGTGTTATACTTTTCTTTTAATTTTATTATTGTACAGTTTGTGTGTGTGTGGACTCTATATCATTGCTATTATTGTTATTATTATTATTATAAATATTAATTTTTTTATTTTATTATTATTACTATTATTATTATTTCAAATCATTACTCTACCCCCCTTTGTTTGATAGCGTGATTAGATTCTTACTACTACTACTACTACTACTACTACTACTACTACTATTACGACGATGACTACTACTATTACGACGACGGCTACTACTATTGATACCGAGATAATGTTTAACTATTATGTAACATACCTGAGAGAGAGAGAGAGAGAGAGAAAGACACAGAGAGAGAGAGAAAGACAGAGAGAGAGAGAGAGAGAGAGAGAGAGAGAGAGAGAGAGAGGAGAGAGTATAAAATATTGATGGTGATTGTAAAAACGTCAGAAAGTTAGTTATTACTGATTAAAATGTTAGGATGAATTTACAATTGTTCGTAGATTAATCACTTTTTTATGATGATTTAGGATCTTTTTTACAATCATAATTTGCATAATAATAATAATAATAGTTGTAGTAGTAGTAGTAATAATCTGTTATTATTATAGTTATTATTAATATCGGTAACATTTTCCCTATATATATATTTCTCATTGAATTTCTTTACAGAATGTTGTATGTATATTGAATAGAAATAAAAGTTGACTGTCTTAAAGTTGGAATAAATAGTTAAAATTTAAGTAATTTTACAGTTTGAAATTGATTAAATACTTAATTAGTAGTACTAAAACCATACAGAAGGAATATATTATATAATATATAAATTTACACATTTCTTAAAAGGACGGAGTCATCTTTATAAGGTATGTATAATTTTATCTTTACTTGACTGGCATTATCAGGTATTTGGTATTTTTATAAGGTTTTTTTAGTTATTTAGTTGCATGTATTTGTAGACTGTGTATAAATGTTTTGTATGTATGCATGTATGTATGTATGTATGTATGTATGTATGTATGTATGTATGTATGTATATATGTATGTAGATATTAAAAATCATGATAATAATGGTAATTTGTGTATGTATGCACCTATGTATGTAGGTAAGCTTGTTTTTCTACATGTTTGTATGCACGTTCGTATGTATGTATGTACGTATGTGTGTTTGTATGTATATGTGTGTGTGTTATAATTATGTGCGTGTTTATAATGAACATGGTCGATAAGCATCTCTTTATATTATTCTTTGATCTCATGTTTGAGCTTGTTTCAATTGAAATTCTGACGTTGTGTGTGTGTTTGTATGTGTAGAATGTGTGTAAACATGTCTCTTTTTGTTTTATTAAGTTTTTCTCCTTCTCTCTCTCCTCTTTCTCTCTCTCTCTCATACTCTTTGTCTATGTGTGTGTGTATGTAGTTTGCAGATGTCTGAGGTTTTCTCTTCTTCATGTGTGTAAATATTTGTTTGAAAATTGGGTATTTATATGTATATAAATATATGTTAATGTGAGGTTTGATATTTAGGGTACCCATTTATGGTATATGTGTATGTATGTTTGTCTATATGTTTATGTATATGTGTATGTGTCTGGTTGTTTATATATAAATCTATATACATAAATATAGAGAGAAAGATATATACGTGTATATATATATATATGTATATACATATATGTGTGAGTGTGCGTGCGTGTGTTTGTACTATACTTTAATACTACTTACTTTGCAATACTTTTCATTCGCTAATTTTTTCATCTGTTCATGTAATCCAATTACGTCGAGAATCAGAGGCCACAGTAGTAAAAAGCGTAGTAGTAGTAGTGGTAGTAGCTTCTGTAACGACCGCAGCATTAGCAGTAATTATAGTAGTAGTAGTTGTAGTTTTTGAAGTAGTAACATTTGAAGTAGTAGTAGTAATCAATATTAGTAGCAGCAGCAGTAGTAGTAGTAGTAGCAATTGTAGTAGTGGTGGTAGTAGTAGTAGTTATATATTATAGTAATAATAGTAGTAGTGGTTATAGCATTTAATTACGTAATTTCTTATGGGAATTAAAACCAGAGGTATCTTTAGATGCTGGAATGTTATTATTATTATTGTGTTTATTATTGTTGTTGATGTTGTTTGTATTGTTGTTCTTTTTGGTATTAGTAGTAATAGTATTAGTAATTTGAGTCGATCTAATCCTATTAAAAGAATTACTGCAGTCACATGCTGTTATAATGTGTGTGTGTGCGTGTGTGTGTGTGTGTGTGTGTTTACGTAAGTATGCATGTAACTCGAAATTTTAGATAATAGCATGGTATTAAGGTATCGATGGTATGTAAAACAATTGTATGTGTATATGTCTAGTATGTGTGTGTCTGTATGTATGTATGTGTATGTTTGTAGGAGCACGTGGTATACCATGTTTCAGGCCCATAAAATAGAATTAAGTGACCATTGTAGGGCAGATGCCCACAGCACACCAATTTATTCTGCGCTTTTTCATTTCCTAACCATCATTTATTTAAATTTCAAGTAATTTTATTTCGATGTTTCTGTAGTAGTATTAGTAAGTAGTAGTACTATGGCTATAAATGTTTTTCTTGATGACGATAATAATAATAATAATAATAATAATAATAATAATAATGGCTGGAAAAGTCATGTTGCTATAAATTTAATGTTAGAAGTGGTCATTTTCTGTTGGTCACCTTTTTTTTCTAGGCTCGGTTGTTCTAGGGTTGGTCGGTATATGGACGATAAATACTCGCGTGCCGTGCCTACGTAATGCGATCCGGTATTTAAAAAACCGATGTGTGCATGTGTTGGTCGGTATGTATGTGAGTGTGTCGGTATGTATGTGATGGTCGGTGTGCATGTATGTCTGTATGTATGTGAGTATGTAGGTATGTATGTGTTGGTCAGTATGTATGGTATGAATGTTTGGATGTCGGTCGGTATGTTTGTCGGATGTCGGTTCGGTGTGTATATCGGTATTTGTATGTTCGTTAGACGGTTCGATTAATTGGCTTCGTAATGATGATGCTCTGGTGATTTTATGGCTGTTTGTACGTGCTGAAATTTGTATTAATGTGTCTGAATGTTTTCTCATTTGTTTTTCGCTTTACTAAGTGCGCTGACTTGCGCATAGTTATTTGTATAAATTATAATTATTATTATTATTGCCATTGTGGATACTTATAAGAAAAATTATTTATTTATTATTATTATTATTAATCTTTAATAAGCAATGACGATAATTTATAAATGCATCATCATTTTGCAGGCGGTTTGATACAAAAAGAGTGAAAGGGAGCGAGAGACAGTCAAACAAAACCATGGATATGATGAGATGTAAGAACATCGAGATAAACACACAACAACAACAACAACGGCAACAACATCCTTGTAAATTTCAGCAACATCAACAACGACACCATCACCAGCGGCAGGATAACCGCATACGGTCATCATTATTATCGGGACCCCTCTTCCAATTACTACTTCTACTTACGTTCATTTCATCGGCCAGCACTGAACAGGAAATCATCGAGATCAAGTACAGCATCGAGGAAGAACTGCCAGCAGGTACGTACGTCGGTAACGTTGTCAACGATGCCAACCTGGTCTCCATCTACGACTCGACCCAGATGCGGCAACTGCAGTTCAAATTTTTCAGACCGGCAATTTCACCGTCGTTTGTTATTGACCCAATTACTGGCGTAATCGAGACGGGAGCCTCGAGGTTGGACAGAGAATCGATCTGTCAGGGAATGGAAAGTTGTTTGATTCGGCTCGATATCGGTATTCAACCGGCTAAATTTTTTAGAATTATCCGGGCTACAATAACTCTCCTTGATATAAACGACAACGATCCGACATTCGCTAGTCATTCATTTGTACTGGAAATTTCGGAAGCCGCACCAGTCGGTTCGTCGTATCATCTGCCAATCGCCGAGGATCTCGATGGACCGAAATATTCGGTAGTCGATTACAAACTTGGGAAAGTTTCACCAGGTAGTACTGATCCGTTTCTACTCGCCTGGGACAAACCGCCAAAATTAATTCATCGTCTGCCCATAAACGTTGACGATAAGACTGTACCACGTCTGACACTGATGAAGCAACTAGACAGGGAGAAGCAAAACACCTACTACACGGAACTTGTGGCTATCGATGGCGGATCACCGGCAAGAACCGGTAAAATTCAAATTGAAATTAGAGTTTTGGACGCGAACGATAATGCCCCGATATTCGAAAGGTCATCTTACGTTGTGTCCATCCCTGAAAATGCTCCGATAGGCAGTAACATAGCTAAAGTTTACGCTACAGATGCGGATGAAGGGTTGAATGGGATGGTGATGTACCATCTATCGAGTGCTAGTCGGAATTCATTCGGTAACATTTTCAGCATCGACAACAAAACCGGTGAAATATTTTCTACTGCCAAACTCGATTTCGAAACGAAGCAATCGTATCAATTGATAATTGAAGCCAGTGATCTGGGATCGGATTCGGTAGTTGTGTCTACTGTCGTCACGATTAATATCGAAGATGTTAACGACAACCCGCCACAAATCACTGTCGGTAGTATGACGTCATCCATGGATACGGATGCTCTCATTCCAGAAGATTTTCCCATAGGAAGTTTCGTCGCTCACGTGAGCGTCGTTGACCTAGATTCAGGTGTGGGAGGAAAATTTAACTGTGTCATGAAGGAGCTGTCAGGCTCATCGTTCCAACTAACGAACGAAGGAGGGATCGAAGCATCGAAGCAAATCGCCCATTTTCAAAAATCTCCGACCTTCCGATTGAAACAAATATCTGAAACAGAGTTTCAAATTCTAACTCAATCCGAACTGGATAGAGAGAAGCAGGAGTCGTATGAACTGCACATCACCTGTAAAGATTCAGGCCACCCATCCCTCAACTCAACGAAAGTTGTCAGAATAAATATAGAAGACGTGAACGACTGCACGCCCACATTCAGAGACAACTTCTACAGAGTTGAAATTCAGGAGAACAACTACATCGGTGCTAACATCGTCAAGTTGTCGGCCGACGATTGTGACGCTGGCGACAACGGCCGCGTGACCTACCAGTTGGTGAGGTCAAAAGAAAATTTTATTGTTGATCCAAAATCGGGGCTAGTAAAAGCGATAGTTTCATTCGATAGGGAGTCAATAGGCGACGAAGTAAATTTCACAGTAGTGGCAACTGATCACGGCCACGAGCAGAGATCTGGAACAGTGGATGTGTCGGTTAAAATAATCGATGTGAATGATAATCGACCGATATTTGATTCACTAGTGTACCATTTCAACGTCTCTGAAAACCTACCGATCAACATGTACATCGGCAAAGTTTCGGCAACAGACGCTGACAAATCAGGGACGAATAATTCAAAAATTTTGTATTCCTTGCTCAACGACACGGCAGCGGAATACTTCAGGATCGACAACGTTACTGGCGACATATTCACCGTCAAAAACCTAGACCGAGAAGTTACATCTGCACATTACTTTGCAGTCACGGCCCGAGATCACGGTGTACCAGCATTATCGTCGAGTGCCAGCGTCGTGGTCATCATCAATGATAAGAACGATAATGCTCCGATATTCGAATTTCCGACAATACAAAATACGACTATTCAGTTGAATAGCAGAGCAGCCAAAAGTTACGAGGTGACTCGGTTTCGGGCTACCGATCTCGATTCGGGATTAAACGGTAAAGTCGTCTACGCCATGGACAACGATAGTTTACTAAATAACGGTTTCGGAGAGTTATTCCATCTCGATTCTACAACCGGTATTTTAACGCTACTCTCTGAAGATATTACATCTATGAATGGTCAGGTTATCTTATTAAAAATCAGAGCCGAAGATTCTGCCGAACTACCTGAAGGGAAACAAAAAAATGAAGTGAACGTCAGAGTAGTTATCAACGCATCCGCCCCGCTCTTCATCAACGGCCAGCTGGTTGAAAGTTCAAGTTGGCTACTTGCCCTCGGATTTTACGATAGCTACGGCAACACCGTAAAAAGCATCCCATCCTTATTCATGATTTTAATATCCGTATTAGTCGCTATATTACTGGTGATCCTTATCATAACGATCGCCTGCTTGAAACATCGAAGGAGAGGTAACAGAAAACCGACCACGTGTATCGGTAACAGTGCAACCAACCAATACAACTGCAGGGCTGCAACGCTCAAAATGCTCTCCTCACTACCGGAATCGTCGACTTTCCATACCGAGCTCATTTCCTCTGATGCGGAGTTCGGCAGGAGCGGATCTATGCAGGATCTAGCAACACCCCTCAGTCAGGAATCGAGATTATTCGACGATCACATCGATTTCCGGAGAGATTCCAAGACAATCCTGAACAGCGCCATTGTTGACGAGAGTTGCTACGACGACGACGACGACGATGGCATGACGCATGCAGACTCAATATCCGGACCGTACACTATCAATGTTAGTTTCCATTCGTGTTGCTGTTTCGATTGAACTAGTTTAATCGTGTTGGTGTTATTGATAACGAATGCAATAAAACAATTTTGTATTGTTTAAAAATTGTTTAAATCATTTGTTTTCTAAATTTTCAAAAAGATATATTCTAAAAATGTTTTCTATTTTCCTTACTTAACAGTGCATTCAACAGAGGCAACCCAACAACAACATCAACAACAACAGCAACAACAAACTGATGACTAACCTACAAAACACGTACAACCCATGCACGATACAGTGTTGGAAACAACCGCAACAATCACCAAACTGTTGCCTAAACTATCTCAGCAGCAACAACAACAACAACAACACCCAACAACAACAACACTGCAACAACATGCAACAACAAAACTCATACCAACAACAACAGCAAATGAAAGGCGTCTTTTTAAACCGGCCCAGAAACACAAACTCTAGGAGGAAAAATATGGACCATAGTAGCACCATCGACGCTGAGACCGAGGTATAATGAATATCGAACTAATTTCGTTTACTTTTCAATTATTTTTCCTTATAATTACAAACACACCTTCGCTCATGCAACTACATATCGATCACATCCATACACACACACACATATACCGGCATATTATACCTAAATACTTTTGTATTAACCACATACACGTGTGCATATACACAACACACATACACACTTGCATGGTAAATAAACATACATATACACATATACATTGATTTCATTCATACATGGGTATATATCTATGTATCTCTGTGATATGTCTATATATTTACTGATATCATGGTGATAATTGTGTGTTCTTTGTCTTACCATTTTCCACGGCTTTTGATAGCGCTGATGAAATGCCTGCATGTTTTATATTGTTTATTTTCAATTATTTGAAGTTTATAGTTCTCCGTTTTTGCATTTGTTCATTCGTTCACTCACTTTTAAAAAAATTATAACGTAATTTTTTTTTATATTGAAAAATATTTTTCCATAAAATCAATTAATTTATTTTTTCAGAATAAATACAAAAATAATCTACAGGCCAAACATTTGTTGGAGATCTTAAAAGAAGATGCGGTGTTGGAAAATTTGAGCATCTCCTCGGACCAAGGGGCCAACTCAGACAGTGGCAAGGGGGGAAGCGAGGAGGGCGGTGAGGTGCAAATGGGGCACCTGAATAAAACCCTCAACCTACCCGTCATGCACTGCTGTGAAACGGGCCTAGTCGATGACGTCACCCTCGCCGGGGGAAACAGTAACGTGGTAGATTGTGGTGGTGGTGGCTGTAGTTGTGGTGGCTGCGGTGGCAGCCACCGAAATGAACATGGCGGGTTCTGCGTGTGTTCTAATAGTGAGGTTCTTTCCATGTACTAATCCATTTCTTAATTTTTTTTTATTATGATGCTCACGTTTGAAATAAATGTCCAATTGCCAAATATTTAAAATATCCGAAAAATATCGTTAATTATTATTTAGTTAGTTAGTTAATTAATTAATTAATCAATTTACTAATTAATTGATTGGTTTTTATAGAATTAATAAATAAATTGAGAATGATATAGTGGTTTGTCTTGACACCAAACGCGTTCCTTTTTAAGTACTACCAGCATTAAATTACATCAAGCACACACACACACACATACATACGTACATACGTTCATACATACACACAAACAAACAAACCTACATACATGCATACATACATAGATGCATACATACATACATACGTACAAACAAACAAACAAAGTGATTTATATATGATATTGCAACATGATAAATAGTACAGAAATATATTAAAAAATACATCATCTAATAAAAACACATGGTTGTGGTTTCACTTCAATACTTTCATTGGTGGCTTCCAAATATAAGAAGCATTGTTTTCTTTATCACGTGGGGTTGATGTTGTCACTTCTGCTTCTTTTTCTCATGTTGAATAGTTGAATGAATGGGGGGGAGGTCCAAACTTGTTTTTATCAATAGTTAATTTATAAACAAAATAAAAATAGAGTTTATTTAAAACGTGCAATAAAAATTTAAAAAGCTAACAACCTGAGCTCAACCTTAAGAATTTCGGCTTAAACGTAAGGATCTACATACATACATACATACATACATCATGTAATTTGCAATTAAATTGAAGTACCCTTATAAGTATGCTCTGAGCTCGTTTTTCGCATTCGTTTAAAGTACTTTCTATGTGTGTGCGTGTGTGTTTGCGTTCGTGTATGTATGTGTGACTGTGTGTGTGAGTATGTGTGTGTGTTTGTGTGTGTGTGTGTATGTGTGTGTATATATATATATATGTTTGTGTGTATGTATGTAAGTGTGTGTGTAGGTAGGTAGGTTGGTATAATTGAAATTTAAATGAAATTTCTTTATAGGCATGTTTACCGTACACCCAAACTCATCTTTGATGAGAAAAACGGTGGAAAAATCATTATACAATAGCAGCAACAACAACATCAACCATCATAATTGTTTTAATGCCAGCAGCTGCAACAACAACAATTGTTGCAACAACAGCAACAAAACCAACAACAACATTAACAATAATATCATCAACGACATCAACTGTTGCAATATCAACAACAGCAACAACAAAATCGTAAGAAAAATTTTAAATTTGAACAACAACTGCAATGACGACGATTACTTATTCTTTAACAACAACAACAGCAACAACAACAACAGCAACAACAACATTAATTGTAACAATAATAATCACAACAACAATTATAATAATAAAAATAATAATCATAACAATGTCAATAATAATGAAAACAGTTTTAATGATGGTAACAAAAACATCAGTCGTTACCTCAGTAACTATGCCGAAAATGACATTAAGAACTACAACAACAACAACAATAATAACATCATCAACAACAGCAGCAACAACGAAAGTTATAATAACAACAACAATAACAACAACATCAATGACAACAACTGTTACAACAGCAGCAAATTGCCACTAATCAATCAGACTACACCTGTCAAAATTAACCTAAACAACAACAACAAAAATGAAAATAATAATAATAATACAAATAATCAATTTTCAACTTTCGGTAAAAACAATCCCAAATCATCCCCGTCAAGAGTTACCGGAAATCATTCAGCCGGATCGACTTGTGTGGCCATTAGTGCCACGACCGCTCATCCAACATCATTATCATCACCTCGCCCACCATCATTATCATCACCTCGCCCACCATCATTATCATCACCTCGCCCACCATCATTATCATCACCTCGCCCACCATCATTATCATCACCTCGCCCACCATCCTTATCAGCAACTCACCCCCCGCCAACACCACCACCACCTTCATCATCACAGCATCAGACATCGATACCGAGAAGCGAGATTAGATTCATGTCCAACCTAAGTGGCATTAAATATGAACCTTTGAAAACATCTAGTAAACATTCATCTATTTATAAAAATTATTCTCCTTATCTACAAAACCATATTAATAATAATAATAATATTAACATTAATAGTAATAATGACGTCATTAATAGCCATAAAAACAATGAAAATATTATTTGCGGAAGTAATAACTTCGAATCCGTCTATCAGAGTCCTGGTACGAATGCAAGCGAGCAACCGCCAGCAGCACATCATCAGCACAATCACAGCTCATGCACGACCGATGACGACAACGACCATGACGTCATTTCCGACACTTCCGGAAGTTATGTCGTTGACTCTCGCGCTAAATAAATTATTTTTCTTTATGTATATGTATATAGATACGTATTTATATTATATTATTTTTTATATGTAAAAAATGTTATATATTTGTATATGTCTAACTATATATATATATATATATATGTGTGTGTGTTGTGCTTAAAAAATGTATTTTCTATGTATATTTTTATATAAATATATTAGGAATTTTTGTTAAAAAATTAATTTTATTTTAAAATGAAATTACATTTTTTGAATGATTTATTGATTGAAATAAGGAGTGAACGAATGAATGAACGAACAAACAAATGAATGAACAAACGAACGAATAGATGGATGAATGAATGAATGAACGAATGGATGTGTAGACAATGAGTTTATGAATGAATGAATTCATATTTAGAAAACCTTGTTTATATGCATTCTAGTTTCATTTTTTGTTGTACATGGATGATCAATTTTTACTATTATTATTTTTATTTTATTTCATTTCTACGGCTTCTCAATAAAAATAAATTTATTTGAATAAATTCTTGGAATCATTGTTTCTATTTATAAACCCAATCAGAGTCCTGGTACGGATGCAATTAAACCAAAGCCTGGATAGATAGATAGATAGAGAGAGAGGAGAGAGAGGAGAGAGAGAGGAGAGAGAGAGAGAGAGAAAGAAAGAGAGAGAAAGATAGAGTGAAAGAAAAAATGATATAAGGATGACTGGTGATAATGTGATTGGTTGATTGATTGGTTGGTTGATTGATTGATTGATTAATTGAATGATCGATAGATTGATTGATTTCATATATTAAGTCGCCAAATTTAAAAAAACATGTAACGAGAACCATTTCAAATGTATAGTATGAAATATACTATTAGTAAAGAAATTGAAATATAGAATCGATAATGTAGTAATTTAAAAGTTAACTTAATTTTTTTAAAAGTCGGTCGTTTAACCATTTAGTTAGACCTAACTTTTGCGAAACTGCCCGGATTTTAATAAATAATGAAGTTATTTTTAAAATTTATAAATTTAAATGATTAAAACTTCAAAATTAATTTTATTAGGTATAATTAAGTTTGTTTAAATTTTATTTCATCCTAAAATTAAAAAAATGACGCATCGCGATGATTTGTATGTTGGGCCCTACCGGTTGGAAAAAACTTTAGGAAAAGGACAAACAGGTGGGTGACTTAACAAAATTTTAATACAATTTTATTTTAATTTTTCAATTAATTAATTGTTAATTAGAATAAATGAATTTGAAGATCTGTTTTATGGCTTTTGATTGACATAAATTTATTTATTAATTAGTTTGTTGCTTTTAGTTTTTACTGCACAAAATTTGCATTAGCAGTCATCTTTGTATTTGTTTCATTCTTGCTTGTTCTCTATTGCTTTTTTCATAAATGGAATTTTAAACAACAAGTTTAGAGATGTAAAAACTTATAATGTCACCCACAAAAACAGGTTTAGTGAAGTTAGGGGTCCACTGTGTTACAGGCAAAAAGGTGGCAATTAAAATTGTCAACAGAGAAAAACTTACTGAATCAGTTCTCATGAAGGTATGTTTAAGATTTTTTTATTTGTTTAAATTTTATTTATTTGAAATGGATTTGTAAAATGAATTTGTTAGTTTAGGACTTTAGTTATTTATTTATTTTTCCATTAACTGCTTTCATTAAATTTTTTTTACATAATTTTATCTATTATATTTACATATTTATGTATACACATATACCTTAATTAAAAATTGTTCTCTTTTTGTTACATCGTTTCAATAGTTTTTTCAATAATTAAAATTTAGAAAAAATTAACAAAAAGAATTTTGTTTCAAAGGTTGAAAGAGAGATTGCCATTATGAAATTAATAGAGCACCCGCATGTTTTGGCCTTATATGACATATACGACAACAAAAAATATTTGTATGTTTTCTTCATTCATTATTTTGTTTAGTCAGCCATTCATTCATTCATGTTCATTCTTTCCATCTGTGTAGATCTATTTTTTTTCTCACTTTCATTTTCTCTCTCTTTCTCTCTCCCTCTCTCTCTTTCTCTCTCTCTCTCTCTCTCTTTCTCTCTCTCTCTCTCTCTCTTTCGTTTTAATTTAATAAAAAATAATAAAATATTGAAATCTGAAAAAAAAACACTGCAAAACAATGCCCTAACATTATGAAGATACCTGGTGCTGGAACATGTGAGTGGGGGTGAGTTGTTTGATTATTTGGTCAAAAAAGGTCGACTGCCTCCTAAAGAGGCTCGAAGATTTTTCAGGCAGATCATATCCGCCCTCGACTTTTGCCATAGCCACTCTGTCTGGTTTGTGTCTATGTGTGTGTGTGAATGTGTGTATGTGTGTGTGTTTGCTTTAATTGCTGTTGTTGTTTGTGTTTTACTTGGTTTTTCTTCATTCTATTGTTAGTCAATCAATTATTCATTAATCAATCATTAACCAATTAATCATCAGTATATTAACTAATTTAACCATTCAGACAATCAATCAGTCGTTTACTTTAATTAACCAATCAATCAACCTATTAATTAATCAATCAACCTATTAATTAATCAATCAACCATCTAATTAATCTATTTATTAACTTTTGTACTGCAGCCATCGCGATTTGAAGCCGGAGAACTTACTATTGGATGATAAGAATAACATTAAAGTGGCCGATTTTGGAATGGCCTCCCTACAAATAGAAGGCTCCATGCTCGAGACCAGTTGTGGGTCGGTTATTATTATTATTATTATTATTGTCTTTGTTGTTGTGGTTGTTGTTGCTGCTGCTGTTGTTTTTATTGTCATTATTTTATTCCTACTAAGTCATGCTGAATGCATAATGAAGTAGAGCTACATATATTAGCATAAATTAACATAATTTTGCTGTGAATTCATTCGATTTTCGCAGGTCGCCGCATTATGCTTGCCCAGAAGTTATTAGAGTTAGTTGTTATTTTTATTATTATTACTATTATTATTGTTGTTATTATTGTTATTATTATTATTTTTATTGATGGCAGGGTGAGAAGTATGATGGAAGAAAAGCTGATGTCTGGAGTAGCGGTGTGATACTGTATGCCTTGCTTGTTGTTAGTTTTTGGTTGGCTGATTGCTTGCTTTGTTGCTTTATTGATCGATTGACTGACTGA